CGCGTGGTTTGAATGGGGACTGCGTGTGGTGTGCACACCAGCTGCAATTGGTGTGTACGACGGCTGTGTGTGGGTGTGTGGGACATGATTGGTTTAACACAGCATAGTCGATTCATTGTACTTCCATTTGGCGGGTATATCGTATTTCATTTTGCTAGCAAATTCACCTGGGAGAGAGGATCTGGGGAAGCACTGGATTTACGTGAGAAAAACGTATGTTGTTTTATCACAAACGTGTTGTTGTAAATTCGTATTCCTGTAGGCCTTTATAAGGCAAACACAAAGGATCGTTTTGGAAAAGTTGCTGTTAGGCCCGATATTTAACGTGATGGAATGGGGAACCATCGCTAAATCGCAAATCGCTAATAGCAGGAATGACCCTTACACTGTAGCTAACACTTGGGTTCATATTGGCCGTGCTTTGGCCCCTTCCAGCATGCAGGAGGAAGGGCCACTAAATGGAAGTTATTTATTTTCATTTATGCTAAATTTGTAGTGATTTACGATATTCGGCGCATAAGGGAGGTGCGAAGAAACAATCATTCATGCAGTTAACCTAATTATTTCAAGTCTGGTGCAAAAACGCATGATCGCACTGGTTCACCTGGTGCGTTCCAGCCCGGGTTTTGACTTCTTAATCGTTCATTTGTGCATTTTGGCAAGACCTTCTATCGGAATTTTTAAACCCTCGAACTATAACTCTTCCTAAACGACCACTTCGTGGGGTAAGAGGGACAACGTTCAAAACGAGTAGTTGATACTCAACACACACCAGTAACATTCTGAAACAAGTAAAGCCCTGTTTCGGAAGAAGCGCTAAGCAAATAGTCTCTTCAGGAGATGAAATGCGTGTCAGGACCACTAGCAGGTTAATCACAGGCGATATAACATTATTGGTCGAAGTAACTGGAAAAGTTGCCAGATAACCGAAAAAATTGCCAGATACACAGCCGAAGAACGATGTAAGGAAACGCAGCTGATCAGAGTGTCAAAATAACTGTCTAACAATGCTTCTCTTTCCGTTATTTGAGTATCCCCTCCCTCAATTCCCCCTTATTTTTCCAGTTCCACTGGATACACTCATTCGCTGTTATCGCGTATTTCGCCTAGTTTATAAGCAGTCCTCTTCCATCCCTGCTAGAGTGCCTTCTTGCACCAACTCTGTGCTTTCAAGATCAAAAACAGCAACTAACTGTGATAAGCCGAAAGGACTAGCTCCATAGAAAAGTGGGTTTGGCTGCGCAGCTGCGGCTGCTGCGTTGGCCAGTGTCGCCGTATCGTTCCCGAAACACTGGGCGGCCATGGCTGACAGCTGACTGTTGGTTGCCGCTATTGCAGCTGCTTGAGCAACATCTGATCGAAACACTTCTGACTGCTGAAATGAAGAATTCTCGTTTACTGTTAACCGCAATGCTAGACAAATCCCAGGCTGCAAGGCTTCATCTCGGAAGCCAAGCAAGCTCCGGCGCCAAAACTTTGCCAATTAGTTCCCCGGCCGAGTGCAACCCAAGGACCACGGTATCAACCTTCACGCACATCTGGGCCCTGCATGCGAGCGCATGAATGTTTTGGCGGGAAAATTGCTAACTCGCTTATGAGGAAAGCTGAAAGGCCAGAATTTTGAGGGAATGTTCCTTACTCATGCGCCTCCAAAAGATTTCAAATTCAACTTTTCTAGCGCAGTCTTTTTCGCACACCAGCAACCTTCCATTTCTAGGGTCACAGAACTCGGCATCTACAGCTGACATGCCACTTAGTTGGACAGTTAATTTCATGAACTTCAAAGGCCAGTATTTCACAAATTCTAGCTACTGTGATTCCTCGAGACCTTGCTACAGTACGAAAAAGTGCAAAAATGCACGATCCCACCGGTTCGCCTGTTGCGTTCCAGCCTGGGTTTGCACGAAGCCCAGTTGTTTTTCTAG